TGAGCTCTGTGTAGTAGTCTGTGTCTCCCCCATGGTTGGTATGCACTATATTATCTATGCAATCAAAGACACTGTTTGCTGATACTAGATAGTTTATGAACGTTGATACAAATCATGCACCACCATCTACACAGATCTGCATTTTCTTAAAAATTCAGTAGTATTTTCTATAGTAAAGCCATTTCAGAGCACTTTTGCAGAAAAATCTACAGCCACTCTGCATTTGGACATAGTCATTATCTGAATAAAAAAAAAGTAATGTTGTAAATATGTTGTGTACATTCAATTCAATTTATTTTATTTATTTATTTTATTTGTATAGCGCTTTTAACAATGGACATTGTCACAAAGCAGCTTTACAGAAATGGATTCACAAAAAATATATTGTAAATATGTGAATTTATCCCTAATGAGCGAGCCAGAGGCGACGGTGGTGAGGAAAAACTCGCTGAGATGATATGAGGAAGAAATCTTGAGAGGAACCAGGCTCAAAAGGGAACCCATCCTCATCTGGGTGCAACGGATAGTGCGATTATAAATAAATCCCTTCTATTATTGTGCGCTATATGGACAAATAGTGCAATAAATTCATCACAGTTTTTGCAAGAAGTCCGGTTGGTTAAAATCTATCCACTGTCCACTGATGGAGTCCTGAGTACGAAGGTGCTCGTGGCAACCGCAGCCCCAAAGCCACTACAGCAATCGCAGTCCCAAGCCATTACAGTACAGCTCCCCATATGTGATCCCCAAACCATCTCCACAGCCCCCAGGTGGCACCATCCCCAGCAAACTAAATGGTTCTTCAGGCCGTCCATATGGTGCCACCCCCAGCAGCAGCGAGTGAACTCAACCGATGAGAACTCCAACCAGAAGTAGGGCATCAGGATGGGTCAGGCAGTGAGGAGGAGCAGAAGGGGTCAGGATCACTGGCATCTCAGAAGTAGCATGTGTAGCTCGTACATGCCACTGTTAATATGTTAAGTTTTACCAAAATATTGCTTGAAAGTATAAAGAAGTACAATATTGAAAAGGCGCATCTGCTTTGACTTTACTGATGGTCACAACTTTAAGGCTCAGTCTTTTAAAATGATGGAATTCTCAAATAGAACTTTAATAATTCCTCTGTGGTGGCGGAGGCATAGTCGAGCGCCAGTTTTTTATGAATGGAGGGCAGAGTCAGTGAGTGATGAGTGGTAATGAATGAGCACTGCCACCTGTGTGTTATTAAGGTGACTATTTATTCTGTGTTTTTCTTCAGGGAGCACTGAAAGGCCAGAACGAGGAAGCTGAGCTACAGGGAGCTTATCTGACAGCATATGTGTTTAAGTTGAATGTGTTTGTTTTTGTTGTTGCATTTTGAGGAGAGTACTGTGCAAAAGCATGGAGGGAAGAAATTAAATAGCACCACTCCTCCTCCATCTGCTTCCATCTCCTCTTTTCCGTCCTACCCACCAAAGTATCACAGCTTTATAAAGGTCTCAGATTAGCTAATGAAACAGATAACGGCAGATGCAATACAAGGTGAGATTTACTGCCATCTCCCTTATTTTAGCCATATACTATTGATCACACTGACTCACCACAACTATACTGTAAGTGTAAAACTAAATCCAAAAATTCCAGATGTTGTTACCACAGACTCACCTGATACAGTCAGTGTAACAGCACCGCTGATCTCTGAGCTCTGAGAGTCTTTGCTCTGTCCTCTGCAGGTGTAGACACCACTATCAAAATCTCTTACAAACCAGATCCTTAACTCCTGCGTTGTGCTGTCTGGGTTGAGTCTGTGATTATTCTTATACCAGCTGTATGTCCACTCAGTGTCTCCTCCTCCTCCCTGTATGTCACATCTGAGAGTAACTCTCTCATAAGTGAACACGTGTGTATCAGGCTTTATGGACACCACAGCTTTAGGCCACTCTATTACAAAAATCTGTTGTTAATAAACTATACATAAAGTAATTCCCAAGTGTACAGAGGTAAACAGAGTCAAACAACACTAAAAATAATTAAATGTTTAAGTAAACATAGAATTTGAAACACTGTTTTAATGTGTAATTAAATACTGTTTTAATTGTGCAATTAATTTCTTAAGTATTATTTGTTAGTCATTCTTTATTTGTAGGTCATTCTTTTCTCATTTTATAAGTGTTTACTTATTACAAAGTGAAACTAAAGATTTGTTAATCTGATATGAGAAAAATTGAAAACAGTTAAACTAATATCCTTTCCCTCCAGCTGTTAACTTGTATTGATAAAACAAATCAACAAACTCTGAATGGTAATGTACAATCACAACCTTCTCAGCTCCAATTCAAATCAGACATGTACACATAAATAAACAAATAAATGTATAAGAATATAACTATACATAAGTCACCTTGAGCATGGGTCACTTGTGTAAGTGAGATCAGTACTAAAAGAAGAAAAGAAACAAGGACAATCAGGTAGATTCAGTGTATGATTGACAACAGCAAATTTTAGCCATCTGAAAGAAATACGGTATATGTGTCAGTAACGAAGTAATTACAAATCTAGACCAAATATTTGCTTACTTACTGTAACACATTGCAGCACACATTTGGTCAGTTATGGTCTTGATGGACATATTAATCTGAACAGAAAGACATAAAACCAACGAACTCTCACACTGTAACATTCAACACGTGTCCTAATCACACAATAATCTCATAACTCAGGATTTTAAAATACCAGAATGTCTTGTTGAGATACATGCAAAAGAGTTAAAAGCGCTGTAACAGTTACCTTCTGTCACAAGGTTTATTTTATTTTGTGTGCTATGTTCATCCCGACCACTAGGTGGCCTTACCTTTTTTTCTGTATAAGACAGGAAGTAGTAGAGTTAGAGAGAGATTCAGTTTGAATCCCTCATGGCTTCTCTTAGTTGTCCAAACAATGCTGGTCTGAGAAACATTTTGTTTGCTGCTCAACCAGGATTTTTCATTTGTTCCAATTCATGCTGATGTTGCATGCTAACAATGACAGTGAGGAGTGGAAGCACAACTTTGGTGTTCCTTTGAGTGTGTTATTGCAATTGCCCAAGGACTATACCCAAAGATTCCCGGCCTACCTCATCAAGGGTATCTACGTTACATCTATCGTCTCATCAACAGATAAGGCTGTTAATCTGCTCATGAACTGCACTAATTTACAAAACTGGCTCAAATTGTCATCAACATTGTTGGACATTCCGTAAACAGAACCCCGCACATTCACTCTGGACATTGTGCATTTTCTTTTGTGATCGCTTGTTGTGTGAATTTATTTGTGTATTTGTGAAGCATTTAAAATAGTGTTTGTGAATATATGGTGATTTAATACACTTTGGAAAAGGGATATCCACTGCATTTGTTTGTTTTTTTTGGCATTTATCAGAACTTTGTTTCACTGTAACTAGTAGAACCAATTTGCAAAACTGATCCCCCCTTTTTTCTCCTATAAAACAGTCGGGACGATTATAACACTATACAAATAACACTGAATTGAATTGCTCTAAGGAATTAGTGATTTCTCAAATAGTAAATTTCTCCAATTTAAAAACTTAAATTTTAACAAAAACAGTTTTTTTTGCTTCTATTACCACAAATTTTGTCGATTAACCGTGAAATTTGGAAGAAAGCATTGCGAGACCAACCTGAACAAAAGCTGTTTCTCAGATTTTTGATATGATGGATGGTTTTTCCATAACTCTCGAATGAAGTTGACGGTGACATGGTCAAACAGGACATGAGGGCATGTCTCAGAAAATGTGTAACATATTTTGACCAATCCTTGTAGAGAAGTAAATAACCTTGTCCTAAGAGACTCCAAGATGTTTTGTCTAAATCCCCTCTAGGGGGCACTATAATTCACAAGTTAATAAAACTCCTCAGAACTTTGGAACTATCTTCCTTCATTGTTAAGGAGCGGGGACAGAACGTGCTTGCCCCCCTTAATTGCTTGTTTTAAACCGTGTGTTTTAAAGTTGCTATATTCATAGACTTTTCTGTTGAACCATCGTAGTTAGTGAGACTAGCTGCACATCAAACTGAACCCTTCTCATAACAGATATGGATCCACTGATCCACCTGAGCAGTCATGCTGAAGTACACACAATGTCCTAATCGCACAATAAGCTCATCACTCAGGACATTCAGACTGCAGATGAACAACTTTATACCCCACCACTCACTCTAATGAAGACACAAAGAGAACATTTACTCACAGAGCATCACAGGGAGTGGACTGAGCTCCATCATGTCTCTCTAATGACTGACTGACTGACAGAGCAGAGGTATATGTTAAAGTCTTGGTGCTTCCTGTCACGAGACAGACAGACAGGGGATGTGTATATTTAAGGTCTTTAACTTCTCTTTTAGAGGATGCAGACCTTGTTGCTCCTGTTCCTTCCTCTTTCCAGGAAAAACACTTGTTTCTCTTTACACTTTCACAGAAAAAGTGACAGCAGAGAAATATTGGTTTAGAAGTCCACAAGGGAGCTCGTAAGCACATTTTGTGTTTGGGATGAGAGGAGAAGGGGAAACAGTGGTGCTATTGGTGCACTATGGTGTAGTTCGGCAGTTAAAAATACATACTGTTCATATGTGAGCCAGCCTGTAAATTCTTTTCGCTACAGCTGAATTCTGGAAAAAAGAATGTGTGTTTAACCACGAGTCCCTTTTGATGTGTATGATGCTGATAATCAAATTGAGAATCAGTTTTTTCCTCTGGGTTCTCTGTTTTTCTCTCACCTCCCGAAAACATTTGAGGAGGTGGATTGATTTTGCTAAATTGCCCCTAGGTGTGAATGAGTCTGTGATGGTGCCCCATCTAGGATGTATTCCCACCTCATGCCCAGTTGTTCTCGGGATAGGCTCTGGATCCAATGTGACCATGATCAGGATAAAGCATTACAGGGAGTGAGTGAATGAGTGTAAAGGTAGGCAGGGCAGCTTTCAGTGGAACTGGACTGGAATCAGACTTACTGACTATCTAGTGAGGGTAGTGGTAGCTTAGTGGTTAAGATGTTGGATTTTTGATCGGAAGGTTGAGAGTTCAAATCCCAGCACCATGTTGTGACTGTGGTGGGTTTTGGGAATTGGAGTTCATTGACAGGACATGATGCTTGACTGTGGACACAGCTGCTTTATAAGGGGCAATGTTCACATCCTCACCTGTGTACCTCCTCTGAAACATTTAGAGTGATATCCACATGCTGCAGCTCACAACTGAAATATCCCTGTTCATCAGGTTTTCTTGTCAACCTTTAAAATGTTTAGAAAAAATTACATGCAGACTATTGAGACCCATTTGATGCTGTGCAGTAATATGAAGATGCTAAATACATGAGCTCTATTTCTTTTTCTTTTGTTGTTAGCTGCCTCATTTGATTAATTTATATTTTTATATGAGGTGAACTAAGATATATTGGGACATCATGTAAATTGGAAATTGTATTTTAAGGCTTTAAATTTTCATGACTAATATATTTCACGTATTTATGATGAATATATACATAAGATGCAATACAATGTAATAAGCATAAAGTTAGTTCAAATCATGTACAGATGTTTATACTATAATCATTTTCAAAATGCACCAAATTAGGTTAATTGGACAGTATTAAAACACAATAAGTGGAAAAGTGAAGTGATATAATGCATGCATGAATGGATACATGAAACACTCCACAAGCGTGGTTAAATGATGCAATGACAGATTTATATACATTCATTTTTTTATATGAAGCATCTTAATAAGCAGGAAATAAGAGAGATTTGGAAATGTAAAACATTAATTCAGCCTACTACTGATTACTCAAATATTTTTTCTATTTTTTTTTTATATTTTTACTCAGAAAAACTTTTTTCGAGTCTTATACAACAGATAAGCGTAAAAACTTTGAATATATGAACATATCATGGGTGTCCAAACTTTTTTTCAGCAGGGGCCAGATTAGATCTCATCAAACTACCGGAGGGCCGGCCATATATATATAATAGATTCAAGATTCAAGATTTTATTTGACACATACACAGTTATATATAAGAAAAAAGATAAAAAGAAATAATAAGAAATAAGAAATATTTGTGCTGGAATGTGCAAAAAATGTATGTACAAAATATGCAAGTATGTTATGTGTACAAACAATGCAAAGTGAAGTGTGCAGAGTTTCAATGGAGTGCAGAGTGACTGGAGAGTCTTTATGGAGTCCTAAGGAATCTGAATCGTGGACATATTTGTATTGAGGCGTCTGATGGTGTTATACATGTATGGTGACCATGCACTGCATAAAAGATGACACTGACATGAGCATTTCTTCTATGCTTTATGGTTTTTACTGCTTGCCTCTCACAGGACACACAGATTACACTGAGCACACTGTGCATGTGCATCATATCGGAGGACCAGTACGGAACGCTGTGAGGGACATAAAGTATTCTATATGTGGTATGGAAAACATCTTGCTTAGTGCCGGTACCAAAAGTAGCACGGCCCTGTGTCCCCAATGACTACAGGCCAGTGGCGCTGACCTCTCACCTAATGAAAGCTTTTGTGAGACTGATCCTCAGATCCATTCGGCCCCTTGTCAAACCCTTCCTTGATCCGTTACAATTTGCCTACCAGCCTCAACCTGGAGTGGATGATGCCATCGTCCACCTGCTCCATTGAACCTACACTCACCTAGAGAAACTGGGGAGCTCTGTGAGGTTTATGTTTTTCGACTACTCTAGTGCCTTTAACACCATCAGGCCCACTCTACTGGGGGAGAAGTTGAAGAACATGCAGGTGTACACTCCTCTGGTCTCTTGGATTATGGACTACCTCACTGGCCGCCCCCAGTATGTCCGCATACAGAACTGTGTCCCCGACACTGTGATCTGCAGCACCGGTGCTCCTCAAGGGACAGTTCTTTCTCCCTTCCTCTTTACCCTGTATACATCTGATTTTATCCACCTTCAGAAGTTCTCTGATGACTCTGTGGTTGTTGGATGTATTCAGGGTGGTGACACTTCAGAATATCAGACGGCAGTGGACAACTTTGTTACCTGGTGTGAGCTCAAACACCTACAGCTCAATGTCAGGAAAACAAAGAAACTTGTGGTGGACTTTAGAAAATCCAGGACCCCTGTCACTCCTTTGTCTGTTCGTGGCGAGGAAGTTGAGATTGTTTCAGATTACAAACACCTGGGAGTCCATATAGACAACAAACTGGACTGGACATCAAACTCAACAGCACTCTATAAGAAAGGCCAGAGCAGACTGTATTTTCTGAGGAGGCTCAGGTCTTTCAATGTCTGCAACACCATGCTGCAGATATTCTATGAGTCTGTGGTGTCTAGTGTCATTTTCTATGCAGTGGTCTCCTTCTTGAAGTCTACAACCAGCTCCTTGGTTTTGCTGACGTTCAGAGAGGGACAGTTAGCCTGGCACCAAGCTACTAGTTTGTCCACCTCATTAAGGTAGGCGGCTTTGTTGCTGTTGGAGATGAAGCCCATAACCACTGTGTCATCAGCAAACTTGACAATAGAAGTGGAGCTGTGAGAGGACACACAGTCATGTGTATAGAGAGAGTAGAGCTGGGGGCTCAGGACGTAACCTTCTGAGGCTCCAGTGCTCAGGGTGATGGTAAACAAATTTAGACACACTATGGACTTAAGTAAAGGTAAGATTATCACATATACTGTATCATTACAGTTAGGTTAGATGAAAATACAGGCTCACAGAGTGAGGTTTCTCAGTTTTTCTCTCAGTTATGCTACTACCATAATCTAATGGCATCCAGTCACCAGGTTGTAGCGCCGCTAAATATGAAGTCACATTACAGAAATTTTATCAGGCTGTTCCTTTCATGTAAACTTGACACATACACAAATGATTAGATAACAAAAGTGAATAAATGCTAATTTACTTAAACACAAAATATGCTACAATTTTCCATTGAAAGAAGGGTGTGAAGTTCAGCATTGCAGACATGTACCAAACGTTCTCCTCATTGTGTAGACTGTGTTAGTGCTCATATACAACCTTGATGTAGATACAACATTGAGTTACAAACCCCTAATCCTGACTATCTTAATGTGTAGACATGCAGTAAGAGTAATAACACTTCTGTTTGACTCCTCATTTACTCTTGAACTTTACTGCACTGAGATCCTCTACTTACACTGAATAATACTGCAGGACCAAATTCTAAAAGCAATAGAAATAAAAGCACACATTGTCTTAATTAATTATTTTTTATTTTGAAAATTTCCAATATCAGTGCATATTTTATATTAAAAAAATTCAATGGTAAAAATTTTGATATTTAAAAAGAAGCACAGCTCAGTTCTCATGTACATCAAACATTCACAAAGGTTCACATACATTCTTTTTTTTAAAATTTATTTTAGAATTTACAGGCTTAAGCTAAACAAATCCAGCCATACCAAAAAACTGTGCTATTAAGTTTGACAATAAAGTAATAAATCAGTATTATTTTAAAATCTCCCAAATAACCTTAAAGAAATCAGCACTGCATCCTGTTTTTTAGATGAACTTTGCTCACTCCTCTATGACTGCAGTCTCAAGTCTTCAGTGTGAGCTGTTAAAGAAATTAAAAACTCATTTGTTTCATTGCAAGTTTATTCCAACAACCTGCATTTGACTTAAATACAACTTAAAGGGTGTTTGTTTTAATGCTTATGAATGACAATGAGGTGACAAGTGACAGTGTTTCAGGAAAAGATGTACTAGAAAATGAACCTCATTCAGTCAGACATGTTCAGTAACTGCAAAATGTAGATCAGAGATTCTTTATCAGTTTTTGCAAGCAGTTCATTAGGGGGTCCTTTTAAAACCTAAATTATATAGATTATATAGATTATATTATATAGATTATCTGATGTTACTTTGATGGATAAGTCAGACAACAGAAGAAACCACCCAATTGTTGGTCCCAAAGAGCTGTCAGGAATTGTTATTCCAGGCTGCTCACCATAATCCTATGACTGAGCATTCGGGGCCAGATAAAACACTGAACCGTCTCATGGCTTATTTTTATTGGCCAGGCATTCAAGGCGATGTGCACAGGTGGTGCGCAAATCTGGTGAATCTGCCGGTGAATCTGCTGGTGAATCTGCCATCCACCAGGAAAGCACCATTGTGCCATCACCATTAATCGAAGTCCCCTTTGAAAGAATTGGGATGAACCTCTTCAGGCCAGTAGAAAGGTGCTCATGAGGCTAGCAGTTCCTCTGCACAACACATCAGCACGTTATTTTGTGGAGGTGCTCTTCTGTGTTATCTCTCGAAACAGATCATGACTGACCAGGGCACTATGTTTATGCCTTACAAATTGGTGGGGATACAATTGATTCGCACCAGCGTTTACCATCTACAGACCGAGGGGCTGGTAAAACAGTTTAATCAAATGCTCAAAACTAAGATTTGTAAAATCGTTCACTCTGATGCACGGAATTGGGATAGGTGGCTCAAGCCCCTGTTATTTGCAGTATGAGAGGTCCCGCAAGCCTCCATGGGGTTTTCCCCATTTAAATTATTGTATGGGCGCAAGCCTCATGGCGTATTAGATGTCATTAAGGAAAATTGAGAGAAGGGACCTTCTAACAGCAAGAATGAAATTCAATACTTTCTTGATCTGAGAGCAGTACGCCACATATTGGGAAATTTAACCGAGGAGAATTTGCTACAGACGCAAGAACTTCAATGCCAGCTGTATAACAGGGGTACTCGGCTATTGGAATTCACACTGGGAGATAAAGTACTCATTTTGCTACCCATGTTGAGCTCTAAATTACTTGTGAAATGGCAAGGACTCTTTGAAATCACACACTAGGTCAGAGAATTCGACTATGAGGTCAGGCGAACGGATAGGGGCGATGCACTTCAATTATACCACCTCAGTCTCCTGAAACCGTGGAGAGAGGTGGGTCCTCTGGCTCTGGCAATGGTGGTTCCCAAGTAGTAGCTGGGACCGGAGGTATGTCTAAAAAGTTTGGCCCATTTCATCCTGGTCCCCTGTGGAGACCACCTCTCACTGTCCCAGAGAGCACAGGTTGCAGGAGG